ATAGAGGCAGTGTACTGAAGAACAAGCACCCCTAGTCATAAACAAATTTATTTTATTCATTAAAATATTTATACAAAAATGGGTAAAGGTTTCCCCTTTGACACGATTGTCAAATCATGTCCAACTGTAGGGGGTAGTGCTCATCTCCGTTACTAAGCTGAAGGAGCCAGCATTGTCAAAGATGACTTTGTAATCATGTGGTCGCCATAACTGCATGGAACACTGTTACTTTCCCACTGAAGTGGTACCTATTTATCTACTTGACTTTTACATGTTTCTGAACTGCTAGCTTCACAAAAGCTGGGACTAGTGATGGAGCTCACTCCATCATGCAGTGCTTGGGTCTCGAACTGCCAACATTGTGATTGTCAGTCAGCATCTTAACCACTGAGCCACCATATCTCCTTAAAATATTATATCCCACACTATATCTGGAGGTCTCAGGGCAACTGTATTACCAATTTGGGATTCATATGGTGCACTGTTTCAGATTGGGAAAAAAGATTGTATATAAATTAAATCAATAAATATTGAGACCCAACAGTTTCCTGTGACCCTTCTCAGCAGACAATCATTTTTTGTAAAATACTAAATGCTCTTACTTATTATAGTCACTATTTCTCCAAGTGATTAAGAAGCTGTCTTGTTTGCCAAGCTTTTTTTCCATGGATATTGCTTTGAGAAGATCACCTAGATAAGGATGTGCATTCTCAGCAGTAATAGGTTAATGTACTGGATGAAGAAGTTAAACCAGAGGACAAGTCATGATATTGAGGATGCTAACTTTTAGAACAAAAGCAGACAAATCCCTGAGCTGGTCTAACCAGAATGTACACTTCTCAACTCTAAGTCCATATGGTTGATCATCTTTATCAATCAATGACAGAATTAAGATGTGAGAAGAATAGTCCACTGTATCATCTGGTAGCTACGATAGTCCTTCTTTACTCATCTTTAAGATAGGGAAGATTGAGGGACCAATTTAACACCCCCCTCTGCAGGCTGCACACATTCTGGTTGAAAAAATGCACATTTTTTTAGGGTATAACAAAGTTTAAAAGGGTGAATATGTCTTGCTTAAAAAGAGAATAAAACTTTCTGGAGGCTTCAAGGAATGAAGCTGCCAAAAAATGAATAAGCTAACAAATGTTTCAGTTGTGCCATGGTGCCTACAAGAAAGAATGGTTGGAAGATGAATGTAGCCCATAGCTATGTACTTCCCATTGCTGTGTTTTAGGAGAACTAGTAAAAAAAATTATACAGAATAATAAACACAAGTATTTTTTCAGACTAAAATTATGAAAACTTGTGCTGTGGTTTGATACATTCTCTGCACACTACCTCACACTTGACAATACAGCCTCTGGGAGTCAGAACCTATTTGTCTCTAAATGAACTTTTTCCATTTTACATCAGATATGAGTAGTTCATCTCCCACTGGAATAGTAAGTAGGAATAAATGCATTTACTTTTCACCTTGTCTGGACCCTGCTCTATGTAGGCTAGGGCATACATTTGTTTTTATATTGATGGTTTGCTTGACAAAGGAAGTATTAGTTTAAAAATTTCTAGGGAACCTAGAAGTATGAAAAGAAGGCCCAAGGAAAGTCCTTTCTCCTTTAATGCCAAGCCTAAAGGCTTCCTGAATTACCTCTTACCCTAACAAGGTAAAAATGATACACCCTGGAAAGTAAAACCTCTGAATCTACTGATACTATGTGAGAAAGTAGTTATCATGGAAGTAACAGCCATGGGCATTTTGTTGATAATGAGGCTAATCGTTCTCTCACCGTAAAGCTGACCTGATGTGGAGAGTTCAGGGAACAAGAGCTCTGACAAAGCAAGCCTTAAGGACAGTAGAGAAGCAAGCATAAAAGCATCTGTATATGATATATGGTATCTTTAGGTTGTATGCTGACAGCAATAGGAAGTGCTATGGACTTTAATGGAAATAGAAACTGCATCTATTTAAAAGAATGTTTGATTCCTAGCTAGAGGAAAGAGTAGAACTTCTGTGGGAGTTTAGGAATGCTGAAGGACTGCTTCCCTTTAAGGTATGGCTCAGAAGTGATATGATCTGGAAGCAATAATTCAAATTAGGAAGTAGTTGGCATGGAGTTAACTGCAAACTAAAGAAAAATGTATCAAGCAAGGGAAAGTTAGTCAAAAGATAGGAAGTCAAAAGATTTAAGTCAGCAGGTTCATTCTGCTGAACCCTGGGATTCCAATTTTCAGAGAGGGCAATCAGATTCAAAGATTTTATTCTCTTCCTAGTGAAAGGGAGAAGAGAACAAGCTATTTTAAATTATTCCACTCTTGCTGAGAGTCAAACTAGCCATAACAAGATCACACAACTACTATATACTCACATATAAGTAGGAATTTTAATCAAAAATTGACCCAAAAAATCTGGATTGATTTAACCGTGGGCCATTTTATCAAAGCTCTTATTTCAGCGGAGTGGATAAAGGTGAGAGCTTAGTTGGTCCTGGGAGCACCTTAAAGAAAGGCTAACCCCTTCTGCTCTCTCCACTGTGCTGCCACCTATGACCTTTCTGAATGCCTTGGTAGGAAGCAGTGGCAGCTTCCTCTAAAAGGAGATCCAAGAGGAATCAGGTTTTGAAAGATTTGAATAAGACATCTGTGTATGTCTACCAGCTTTTTTGGGTTAAAATCAGGCAAAGTTATCACATCAAAGTTAAAGGCTATAATCACTGCTAACATAGTCACTGTTTTCTTTGCTTTGTCTTTTCATCCTTTTTGACATATGTGAGTTATCTTAGACCTGTCTGTGACTGGTTATCTCACTCATACATTGCAAAGCTAGCATTTACCATAGCTTCCTCCCCACCCATCCAACCTTTAGGATGAGCACAGTTATCCATGCCAGAATTTTGTATGTTCTTTGGCATCATCTTCCTTTGCTTCATCTTTTATAGCCTTTGTTACATGCCCCTAGGTTTTACTCTAGACTTTTCCATGAGTCATATCAAAATCTATAATTTTGGCCCAAAAATCTACTCTCGACTTATACATGAGGTTGAATATATATGGTACATCCTTCCCCCTCTTTTGTACTTCAAAAGTAATAGCAGTCTCTGGTGAGGGGAGGATGGGAAGAAAGATCCAGACTACAGCTGTGATGTATATAAATATAATTCATGGACATTGGCATCTGTAGACCTTGCTATGCTTATAGGGATCTCTTCTTTCATTGCAGAAGCTGGATCAGGACTGTTGAGGTGGAAATAATAATAATAATAATAATAATAATAATAATAATAATATT